CAATAGATTTTGAACATTTATTTAACAAAATTGCATTGTTACATTGAAAAACTTTAACTAGGAAGAAAAGGACTTTCTTAAACCATTGGGGCCAAAATATGTCTTTCATTGAGCATTTTGCAGTTGATTTAGAACCCCCCCCCCAATTTTTTTTTTTTTTTTTGCAAATCAGACAAAAAATGGACAGGGCGAATCCGAGAAACAAATTAAATTGGTGTGGCCTAATGCAATTTCATGGTGGTGGAACTGGATTTTCAAAATCAATTTTTTGGTCATTCTTTTAATTAATATGTAGTAAGTTGAATCAGCCATACCAGAGACCCATGAGGAAAAATGTGGAAAACAGGTACTTGTTTTGTCTCGTAGGCTGGTTCTAGCTATTTATGGGTGGTATCACAAATATAAAGAGACGCTTCACGTAGCTTGTTTTTTTGGGGGCTGTTTCAAGTGTGAAATGATGACAAAAATGTGCTAAGAAATGGCAGTAAACGTCAATATCTGACAGATTTTCTCATCCAGAATATTTGCTGCCTTGAAATTGCAATGGATGCCTTTAGCTGGACCCTAAGATAGTACCAATACTTTTGAAGGAATTATTGAAAGAAAATATGATGTTCTTTTTCACTACATTTTTTAAAAACATTAACTTCGAAAGCGAGTTTGTCTGTCTACCTGTCTACAGCCGAAGACCGTTTGGTTATTTATTGCTACAGTTGTTGATACGATGTTCATCAGCATAGTTTGATAATACAAATATACCAATCCTGGCTGTACAACACAATTAGCATTTCAACCAATGACAGCATGGCAATTAGTGGCTTGACCAATGAGAGTCTCTGCATGTGTTCCCATTCACTTTACAAGACTGGGAGCCTTTTGAGGAACCCACAGAAGCCATACAATACAAAACTATTGTTCGAACAAAGCGTTTCAGTACACCAGAACATCCCTTTGTGATTTTATTAGTTGATTTAGTTGATGTCATGTCAAATTGTACAATTGCATAAGCCTTATAATAATGAATGGTAAATAATTCCTTTTTACAAAGCCCACTACAAAGTCACAGTGTACAGTGCTCAGCGGTAGGATATATAATATGTATAATATGCGTACGTATATATGGCAAGAGTGAGCTCCGGACACGCAACCGCCACCTTCGATGCACTAACATTTCACCACTTCGCTCATATCTGTTCCAAAAAGAAACAAACTCCTATCATTCAGGTGAAATCAACCTTTTCTTCTAGTTTTAACTCCTGTTCAACCTTCCAAGAAAAAGATACTTCGTGTACACTCCCTTTCACAAATACCCTCATAGAGTTCACATGTCCAGTCCACTGGAAACTGTTCCCAGTGAGCACTAAATAAAGCTTGCGAAGGTAAGCTATAATATGTGCATTAAAATAATTCTTGATAAAAAACATAAAAGTGCCTTTCGACTGTAGAACATACATACACATGTACTGTGTGGAAGCATCATTACATATTTATGACAGAAAACCTGTTTGAATTTCAAACGCTTTTGGGCACGAGAGGCAGTATACACATGAAAATCATTCTAGCAATGGTTATTGTTATGCATTTTGGGTCAAAAATAGTTCAAAACCAGCACCACATGATTTTCCCTACTGTTAGAGCTTTAGCACTGAGTTATTGCAACAGAGGCACCATTCAAAAAAGTCTTCTTTTACAAAATGTAACGTTTCTTATCTACTATCATGGCACGACGTATGGTTAAGAACGCAATACAAACATACAGGTGGTAGCTTATAGAGAAAGAGGCAGTTCTGACTGTATAAAAATATTACTTAAACTTGTCTATTAGTTCAGGTGATAAATAACATTAGTATTGTTTGTATTTTCGAGTCATTAGTTTTTTTTTTTTGTAGATACACGTACAATACACAAATACAACTTATTACAATTGTACTGGCATTTAATGGTATGAGTCTATATGACAACGGTAACAAGCACTGAAATACTCTTTGTAAATAACTACCTTTAAAAACAGTGACTTAAACGTGATAAAAAGCAATTCCTATATTCATACGACTAAAAAATACTAAACGACCAATTCTTTCGTGAAACTAAAATCAGGTGACGAACACCAAATAGTATCATTGCACAGAACATGTAAAAACATCATCAAAAATCCCCCTTTTTTTGCAGGGAGACGCTTGGAGAAATATCTAGAAAAAGTAACATGTACTTCAACCATGTCACTGTATTTTGTTGTAGTTGTTGGAAGTTTATATAGAATAGTAAAATATCTTTTCTTTGAAAGAATTTGTGTTTGTCAAGACCTATTCTTTGTCTTGTAATGCTACAAAGACTGTATTTTTTTTTCTGGCACATTGCGAGTCCCACCGTCACCAACGCACAGATGAAATGTTTGTTAAAAAGGCTAGCAGCACACCTTAGATATACAAGCCCCCCTGTACAATAGTTCCTTCCTGTACAGCTTTACTTCCAGCCACCTCTACTCCTTCAATTTCAACAGCATACAGTGCTATTATGCATCGCTCAACAAGCAGACATACCCTTATTCCATACCTTGCATCTATGAGCTGTTACTTTCATTCAAGCTCAAACTCAGATGTAGCTTTCTTCTCCGTCGATATTAACAAGAAGTGAATGTCCTCCTGCGTAACCCTGTACCGTAAGAAAACCTTAAGAATTTTTGCAGTCAACTTCTTTGTAACTGTTGTATCAAGAAGCTTACTCCAACTTCTTTACAACAAGTGTTGATATTAAGCCTCGTAAAAGTCGCTCTACATGAAAATTGAAGTTGGAACAGTTTTGGAAAAGATGGCACAACTTATAAAAATGAGTGATTTGAGCTACAACCTGGTGATATAAAAGTGAACGAGGGTGTCTAGGGTGATATTACGCTCACTTAGTAAACGTGAGGTAGCCCTCCGCACCGGTTACTATCACGTCGATCCATATTCTCATGGCTTCAGCCGACGGTGCCACCAGGTAGTACACTCTGTGAGTCGTCTTCAGACAGAACGTCAGCGTACGGTTGGGACTCTTGAACGGGCACAGGTGGTCGATGTAAACGTCCTGTATCGTCTTGAAGCTCATGCCCCCCTTGGCGCGCCTCTCGTGCCGGTCGGGGTAGTACATGAACGTCTGAGAAGTGCGGTCGAAGACGAACCACCTCTTGCGCCAGGTCTTGATGCGTCCGCCCATCTTGACCAGGAAGCCTCGGCAGCTGGTCTTGGTGACGGCGACGTGCGGACAGAGGTCCAGGCTGTGGCCGCCGGACTCAATGTGCGTGCGGAGATCGAAGTCTTTGCTCGTCTGCGGAAGGTACCGCGTCATGGGTCGTGACTGGACGGACGGAAAAAAAAGGTTTTCGTACAAATAAGTGCACGGTGAGAATGCGGGAACGGTTTCTGTCTAGGTCACAAAGTCAGAAACAAGAAGAGACAGGCAGTGGCAACAGAAGAGAGGGTAACGCCACACCAATTTAATTTGTTGGTTCTCGGATTTTTTCAGAAAAAAATTTGAAGCGACAGGGCGAAAAAAAAACAGGTCTAGGCATCCTATTATAGCCCCAAATGCTACGATAGGAGCCATGAAGTCAACACAAAAGGCTGGGTTAACATTTTAACAATGAAGTTTGAACTTTTAATCAAACCACTGCATTGATTGATGGAAAAACTGTAACACCTATAGGAAGAAAAAGACTTTCCTCAACTGCTGGGGGCAAGATATGAGCATTTTTGACTTGATTCAGAACAAGAATTTTTTTTTTTTTTAAATCAGACAAAAATGAAGAAGCGTATCTGAGAACCAACAAATTAGATTGGAGTGGCCTAAAAGGAAGAAATCAAGAACACAAAGCAGTCGTGGTGCTCTCAACTAAACACTGCTGCTTTCCTTCAAGTAACTAAGAAGTAAACAGCAGCAATGTCTACTTGTGCACCCTGTAGCCGTCGTATCTATGTAATAAAACTGTACCCAGTTGTCCCAATCATCGTCATACATGAATCCACTGGGGAGGGTTTGAGCTTTCAGGGGAAGCCTGGTTTGCAGTTTGCGCTAGAAGGAAGCCAGGAAACAAGCACGTGAGTCTTGTTTAAAGGCACAGGAAGACGTGTAAATAAGGATGAGAGAAGCAAACACTAAGAAGCGAAAGCAACAAAATACAATGTATGTACAGTGTGAGTTAGAGCTGTGTACCGGTACGCAGTACCGATACTGTACCGGAAAAATTGATTAGGTACAGGTCCAAAATACCTACTCCCTCAGTACCGGTACTGTACCTAAACAATTTCACACCAATTTTATGCCTATTTGTGACCTCAAATGTGTATAAAGGTGGTTAACAATGGGTCCCTGTGTAAGGACAGCGTGTTCATGAAAACAAAACACTTAGTTTTGCCTATATTTTATCTGAGCATTCGCCATAAACAAAGAATAAACCTTAACTATCAAGTTTATTTATGTTTTTTTTGTTATTGAAGGAGTTCAGAAGACCATATAAATTGGTCGAATTGTTCAGGTACAGGTTCAGGTCCGGACCTGTACCT